TTTATTATTTATTATTTATTATTTATTATTTATTATTTATTATTTATTATGTATTTATTTATTATTTCTTATTATTATTCACATTTATTATTATTTATTATTCACATTTAAATGATTTTTTACAGTGCAAGTATATATTTTATTCTTTTACTATAAATATATATAAATATCTCACAAATTCCTAATATATTCGCACTCGAGAAATAAATAATCAAGTGCGTATGTAACTTATCCAATCTGTTTTGTTATTTCAAGTGAACGACATATGGTTAACAAATACAGAAACAAAGTAAGTCGCACCCGTACTTATCCATAAAACTGAATGTGTCGAGTGCAAGATGTAGTCAAGGTCCTCTTTATGCCAACTTAAAGCTTGAAGAGCGGCAAGCACTCAAGCATTGCCTTAGCAGTGCCTGGCCAAATTGTTGGCTCTGGGCAAACGGACAGAAAAGCTGCTGACAATATGATTGAAATTGAGTGAATATGCGGTTGACTGACGATTGGATTTGGGGTTCGATTCGCTCTATATTCATTGAATCGGGTCTAGGCGGCCAACAGTCGTGCTCAGCCAATCCACTCTGGGCAGTTCAAATGTGTCTTGCATTTTAAGCGACCTGCGGCTGAGCCCGGGCATTTGTTAGTTTTTGCTTAACCGCCTTTGTCACATCATTCTGGCTGTCAGCGGCCTGTGCCAGCTATTCATTGCATGTCTGCGTGTGATTATCACCTGCCAGTCTAAGGCCACGGCGATAAGACGATGCTGGCAAGCCGAATGTAGCCACATGCCTTGGCCTCACTCGTCTTCCAAGCAGCCGCCCAGCCAACCAGAGTTTTGCTCCTCATTTCCGGCGGATTCGCGTCGCCTGTATGCCATAAATTTTCCTGCCTGCTCGCCTGCTTGCCTGCTGTCGTTGGCTTATCTCTCGCTCCGCCCCAAGACCCCACCAGCAAGTACTCTTGTCGTTATGCTTGCTTTCTTGCACCACCATCACCATCAGCATCAGCCATCACCCATCAGCCTCACCCTCCAGCCTTTCGCCCCTATTTTGTCAGTTTTTCTGCTGTTTAGTACAATTTCCTGGCGCATTTCTCACGCGGGACAAGAAAAAAAAGGAGAAAAAAAAACAAACTTTGCGTACATTTCTTTCACTTACGATGAGCATGATGAGGCCGTTGATGTGCAGTAAGTCAAAATGTGAGCCTAGTGGATCTCTGCATGCCCAAAAGTGTTGACTCTTCAAGCAGCGCAGCCACCGACCCAAGAACTTCCAAAAGAATGAAGCACAAAAACTGCCAGCCACAAGAAATGCCACCGTGAAAGACGAAAAACCAGTTGAGAAACCTGAATAAAAGCAAATTCATATGCGGTGCGGTGCGTGCGTGGGTCTAACTGAGTGGGTAGCATAGAGCCCTGCAGCATCGCCTGGGCGGCTGCCTGGCGGGCATGGCCCAACAATTTAATTGAAACAACCTTAAAGCTGACTTCCACTTGGCACAATGCCAAATCCGACCCTTTTGCCAGTGGTCCCTATGTAAATGTAAGTGACGTCGGCTACGGCAGCAATTTGTATGTGCGCCCTAGCCGGAGCCCGTGCAGCCACCCAGCTCTGTATCTCTGCCCGACTGACTGAAAAAGGCACCCAAATGGCTAGCTCATTGAATAGGCGAATGAAAGTTAACTGAACTGGGTTGCCAGCACCCAGTTTTAAGCACTGATTGCGAACCATTTTGTTCACACTCCTGCAATGAATTACAATTACGGTTACGATTACGGATACAATGGGGTATATGTTCTGTATCCTTATCAATTGAGCACTATCGCCAGACGAGTTGAATTTGTCGTGTCCGTAGTGGAAACTAATTAGATCAAAGTCGCCCAGTGTTGGAAAACTTTGTTATTGCCGATCGGATATGGGCTAACTTTTCTCATATCTCAGAACCTTCAATTTGAATTAGGGTCTAGCGAGCGAGGGTCTCTTGCTAATAGACTTAACATAAGTACGGCTTTGTCATTGTTCAAATTCTTGGAATTTATTATACGGGCGTATGCCAGAATTTACTTAAAGCTAATTTAGCCAAAAAAAAAAAAAATCTTATTATAAGAATTTAAAGACTTATGGATTGAACTGAAGCTAAAAATTTAAAAACAAATACAGAAACCTCAATCAAATTTAAGCTGACTTTTTATGACAAAACGGCTCGAAGATATTTGAAGCCAAATACCATATTTCTTTAGATCTCCAGAATGCACACGATTTCCCAGAAACTCACGGCAAGCCGGATGCAGCAGGAAAAGTGTAACGAAATGAAATACCTGACGCAAAAGGCAATTTACCTAACAAAAGCAGGTATATATGTTATATATGGTAAATTAACTCTATATGCTCGCATGCAGTAAAATTTAAATGAATAAATTTTTATTAAAATTGCGTCTGCTTTAAATGATATGGAAGGAAACATGTAACATTTGCAGTAGAAATTCAAGAATAGCTAGAAATGTGAATAACCTTCGTATATTGCTCGAAACAGCTTAGAGCAGCGTCTGCGTTCAATTATGGAAAACAAAGGCAATTTCCAATTGAAATCGAGGCAGAAAAGTGTCATTTCGGCTATGGGGCTATCGCCGCCAGTTCTCCTCTCCAATCTACAGACTTTGCTAACGGAGGTATAAATTGAGAAATGTAAATACATTCTGTGAATTCAAATGTGGCAACGAGCAACAAATGGCTTTTCGCCAGTCAGCAGCCATTACGTGTGCCTCTTCTTCTTCTTCGTCTTCTTCTCTTCTTGGCCATTTGTCGAATTTTTTCGGTGAATTGTAATTACATAGAAACAAAAACGATTCCACTATGCTTTCAATTTACAATGCTGTTGCTATCATTTTCGGCATTCTGTTATTTTAATGGAATCGAAAGCTGCACGCTGTCGGCACGTCGACAACAACTATCTGTGAATGAATGCCTATGGAGTCTGAATGAGGTAGTGAGAGCTGTTTTTATGGCCGGATCGGGCAAGTGTCAAGGACAAATATTATTAGGCTGTGTGCCATAGATTTTCATGGCATGAATCCTCAGGCGCCCTTTTTTTCGGAGGGGCCCATATAATTTTCGATGCGAGTACATACATTAATTTTATGCACTATCGTTGAATGGGAATCGTTAGCCGTCGATAAGTGCGAGAGGTGAGCGAGGCACACACAAGGAGTATTGACATTGAACAACCTTTTCGTGTGCCAGTCGCCTATGCAAATTGCCTAAGAGAACGATATAAGTAGGGCCGTTATCAGTGCCTATCAGCGTCACCCACTCAGTGCTGTGCGATAAATCTCGGCTTAAATCTTTCAAATTGCTCCCCAAGCGTTTTTAAGTAAACACACGAATGTCAGGCGAGCGAAAGGAAACGCTCTGCCAGCCGTATCGTAACTGTGAGAGTAAGGTAAACGCAATGGCATTGGCATTGGCAATGTTAAAGGCAAAGGAAAAGGCAAAGGCAAAGGCAAACGGAAAGGCAAAGGCAACTGCGTCCAAATCTTACCAATCTTTATGTGAGCCAAGCACTCAAACGCGGACTCAAAAGAGTCGCTAAGGCACTAAAATGTCGGTAAATATATATGTGTATCGAGTCGACTAGCTGAACCGAGCTGTGTCTACAAATGGAATTTAATCACGCGTGCGTCGAGCTATCCACACAATCTGATACTTGTTTTATTTTCGTCTCTGCAACTAGTCCCTTTTCCGATTTGATAATGCGACGCTTGGTCCCTGGCGGTATCATGCTCGGCGCTGCTTAATTATGTCACAAATATTTACACCGAAAATCCGAATGGCAGGACCTTTTGCGCCTTCAGTGTCATGGCACGCAAGGAATCCAGCTAAACCAAACAAACGCTGACGCCGACGTCGACGCCAACGGCAACGGCAGCAGCAACAACCAATGAAATCAACAATACAAGCTAAAATCAAATTAAATGAGGCCAACTCCAGCCCAACAAGCGGAAGCACTCGCATTTTTGCAGCAATCAAGGACGAATAAGGACGCAGCAGCAGCAGCAGCAGCAGCGACCAGAACAACTGATGGTTTTGCTAAAGTGGATTCCGCGATAATGACAGGCATTAATTTTAGCCATAAACCGATGCGATTTGTTCTCTCCTGTCTACTGTCTTCTGTCCTAGATGGCTAAAGCATCTTCGTCTCACAAATTTTAGAATTCAGTGAAATCCTAATCCAATCAAATTAGATGTCGTTTGTCCCTCGGCTTTAGTATATGCTAAGCTCCTCTGTCCACTGCAGGGTGTCATTCAGTCGAGCAGGCGAGCCAAAGTGATCTCATTTCTGAGATTTTCGCCGGGCTTTGCTGTTTTTCACTGTCCATTGCCGGATTTCGCTTGCGTGCCGTACCTTTGGCACGCTCAAAGTTATTGACAACCTTTGTCGGGTAAACACACAGGGATACAGGATAGCAGAGGCTCGCGCTCATGTGCGGACACATTTAGTGCGCTTGTCACGCAATGAATAATGATTGGACAGAAACAACAACAGCAACAACAAGAACAGCAGGCAGAGGTAGCTGCCATGCGACGCAATAAGCGCCGCCCTCCCCACCTGTCATTGGCCCAATCGAGCGTCCGTTAAGTGGCATATTGCTCATACGACATGCTGTCCCCACACAAATAAACATTCACAGTGACAGACGTCACCAAGGACGCATCCCCTGAGAGTGTCGTGTTTAATAATTAAATACTGTTGTTAATTCGAAGAGCGAAAAGCGAAGAGTGCGAACTGTGCGGACGATGAAGCTGTTGGCTGTCAGATAAAACAGCATCTGACACTCGACTCCCGAAGTGGAAGAAAAACGAAAACGTCCTATTCAACCTACTGAAGCAAGCATAGATTATGCAATTGAATTTCACAGTATGACAAGATTATCCAGGTCTTTATTCAATTACCTGCAATACACGTATTTTGTATGCGTATTTTACTTCACAAATTCATTTTACTTCTCATAATGCATATGCCATATGAAATGCCTAATAAGAGCCGTAAGCAAAATGATTTATAAATCATATTCAAGTTCTTCATTAAAGGAAATTATATATTTTTTTATACAGAATACTTCAATTGGATTCAATTCTAATGAATAAAAATAATAACAAAATTCATTTGGAAATTTTTATTTTTATTTTATTATAATACTCTAATTTTATTATATGTATTTTATATATTTTATTTTATTTTATATTATTTTTTATATTTGTTTTATATAATTTATACTTTAGTAAATAATATTATATTATACTTCATATATATTTATTCTAAAATTAATTAACTGATAACTCGATTTGCTATCAAAATTCGACATTTTGATTAGATAAAATATTGAATTTTTAAGCACAAAGTTTGCGATATTTTTCGCACCTAAGTCAACCAATTAAAGTGATTCTGATAAGCTCTACAATTTAGCAACTTATCATATGAGTTCAGCTAACCCTTTTCGTCAAAATTTTGGTATTTGGCGCACGATTGCTTGGGTTCTGGTCCCATGTGCATAGAGAGCGAGCTACAGCCAATTATTATGATTATTATTATTGTTCACAAGTTCATTTCTTACATATCTGGCTGCTGCGCGTAGGGCAGAACGCAAATAGCTCTTTTCATCCGTGCCCCGTGCGATTCAGCCAGCAGTCCCTTCCGCTTCACTGAACCACGAACTGCTGTCAGGTGGATTCATCCACTATATATATGTGAATATATATATGTATGTATATATATAGATTCGAAGTGTCCTCTGGCTTTGGTTTGCTTTCACTGTTGGGAAACGCACGCACACATTTCATTTTCATTTGAAGTCCGTAGGGCATACATATTTAAAGTTTAGTTTTTGATGAGTTCGCATATGTTTTATTAGCAGCGTGCCAAGTAGTTCTCTTGGCCCCAATTTCCAAGCTGGCCAAGTTGTTGCGCAGCCCTAATAAACCCCAATGGCAATAAGTTAAAGTGTTTCGCATCATTTGCGTTCCGGCAACGTTTCTGATTACGAACTTCCTCTTTAATACTTGCACAACAGCATATTTTTGAGTCTAGATCAAAAATGTTGCCAGCAAATAAATTCCAGTCACATTCCCAGCGTGAATATCTATCTGCCTGTCATCTAATATGATAACAACTGGTTGAATATGCCATTAGAGCGTATAGCAGACTGGCAGATGCCCTCCTTTTTAGCCCTTTCATAAGAATTCTCCAGCTGTGCAAACTGAACACAAAAATCATATAGAATAACTAGGGAGCGATTTATGAGATTTATGAGTATTGAAATTCAACGGTGTGCAGTCC